TTAGACGATTTGTAATTTGTGTCAAAAATTTCAGAATAGAATTTTATTTATTATTTTATATGCCGTGTATTTTGATGTAATATATATTTTAATATATATGTTAAACATATATATGTTTTAATATACACGTATTTTAATATATATTTAATGTATGCATTTTGAGATTCTTCGAATGTATTACAGTTTTATTACACATAAAATCATAAACCGATTTCTATCTTGAATTTTAATACGAATTATAGATCGTTTAAAATAAACTGTCTATTGTTTTATTTTGTCATATAGTACTCTCTTTCTGTTAATTTTGTTTTATCCAGTTTTCAAGTCTTTTGCGTAATAAGATGAAAGACATGTGATTTTCCTTTAAACATAAAAGACAACAAATTGCAAAATAAAAGAAATATTGTGAAAAAACCTATTTGGAAGAAAAATATTTTAAATGTTTGTTAAAAGGTTCCAAGAATATTAGAAAAATCTTAAGATAGTAGTTGCAGTAGAAAGCAGACGGAAACGACGAGATCTATTTGTCATTAAAAAACCATTTACGTGCATTTCCGTGATTGATATTTATAATACTGTTGGCAGTATTAGAAAAAAATACAGAAAAAGTGTAAGCACTGCTGACTTAATAATTATGTTAAAATTAATAATTTATTAAATATTTTAATTTTTTTTTGCTCAATTACAATAGTGTATTATCAAAAAAACTCACTGCAATGAGACTTACTGTTCAAATTTTGCCTATAATCAGTCATCTTTGTAGGTATTTTCTATCTACCCTACTAATAAAAATGACTTGGAAGAAAAATGAGTTTGTCAAAATCTGGAAGTTTTTTTTTTAATTAGTGGATTGGCTTTTATTTTCAATTAGTCGCTATAACACTAATTAGACTTGTTTAAAATTCTATTGAAATATAATAAAATAATGTAAGATATAAGTTTTATATTTAAAAAAGTATTTAAAATTTGATTAACAATAATGTGGATATTGTTAGTAATAGGGTCTTTTACTCTACTAATACTATAGTCAGCAATGTCAGCATAAATTATGGCTCACCCGACACGATCAGCTATTCCTAATTTAACACACCATTAGCTTTGCATTAAACGACCATAATAGGTGATAAAGAGGAACTATAAAAGTCAGTTACTAAGCTAATAAAATTACTATAATGACAAATGTATCCTACTTATACCGAAAAGTCCTGGCTCCATCGGCTTTGCGATTCTTCTTGCACACTTTTCCCACGTTTACAAACGCTTGCAAGTACTTCACCCACAATTCTGTTTGTAATTTTCCGTTTTTTAAGTAAAACACACAACTATTGTATAACTTCGCAGTTTCTTTGCGAAATGTATGTATTGTTATCCTGATAGAAAATTGTTTGGTTACGACAGCATGTAATTGAGTATAATTAAGTATAATTACACGCTGACCATAATTATCTTTACTTTATTATATGCGACATCTTGAAAAACCTAAAGATCAATTTGCTTGCCAACAAGTTGAGAAAGAGAAAAATGATATTTTATATATGTTGTGTTGTTTTTTATGAAGGAATGAAAGTTATAGTGGTGTAAGTTAAATTTTTAAAAATGTTAACTCCTGTGCATATATATATATATATATATATATATATATATATATACATATATATAGATGCAATCTATACAATATATACATTGCATCTATGCACACGAGTCAATATTTTAAAGAATTTGATTTACACCACTATGACTTTTACCTCTCCATATACTTGGACATTAAGCAATAATATAGGTGTGTATGTGTTAAGATATCTCACATTATAATTATTATAAATATCTATTAAATTATATGATAATATTCATGCCGTGTGTACAGTAATTTTAAATCATTTTTTGATAATCGGATAATTTTAAGATAGAAATAAAAATAAAACTTTTGAGCATTATTTACCGTGCTTGGTTTTTAGTTAGCCCGTTTTCTATATTTGTGTATTTCCATTGGAGCCTATACTTCGAATTTCAAGATAGTTCTTATTTTTAATTGTTAATTGCATTAAGTGTCTTCTATTTTTTCTTTTATAAAAATTAGAATGTTTAAGAAATTGTATTATACCTATTTCATTTAAATGGAATAGAAATAAATGTATTTTATTATTTTCCAAGTTTGGGAAGATAATTAGCTCTGTATTATTACTTAACTCGCTAATAATAGCTTAAATCAATTCGGCTTGTAATAATTCGGTAAATTTCCCGGTTATTTATTTTTATCAAATCTATCGCGAGATTAAATTGACAATTTTTCAGATCATTATTTGAAAGACGATACGGATTGACGATATTAACGTGTATACATTCGAACGGGGTCGCTGGCCGACCTAGTTCCTACCTCGCTCCCTTTTCAGCAAGCTTGATTGTTCGAATCTTCTCACGTGTTCCTCAAGCACCCCGAGATGCAGTTTTAATCTTGCACGCAGAAAATGACAAACCGAGTTACCACTTACCTGAGGTAATGTGAGGTGTCGTAAAGGAACTCGGTATACGATGTATCACCACGACGGTGTCAATTCGATTGGACTTGTCGATACGTCAATTCAACGATGTCTCGGCAATGCACGTCTTAAAGTGTGACATTGTCGGGAATGAAGCACACGGCACAGCGAGCGGCGTCCTTTAAATCGCGTCTCGTAATCACCTCGCCACTTCTCCAGTCAATTAGTCACCGATAGTATCCGTAATAAAAGCCGCCCGCGGCCGACCCTGACTTTCCACATAGCAAAATATATCACTCCAAGATATCTGGAAGATATCTCTATAACCACCACAATGTTCGGCAGCCGATCTCGACGAGATCGTCCCAATTGAAGTGCCGGGATACGCTCAGAGATGAGCACGAAGACAATTGCGCGAATCCTAATATTCGCTGAAGGATCGTGAGCGAAAGAAGACTTTGAATCGTCAGCTCGTTCGTGCGGTAGGCTGACAATCCTTTTAATAAAATCTCGTGTCGTTCGTTGTTATGTGATTCTATTGAGACTGCATATTGTTTGCGTGCGGTAAAAACTGAATTTGCGAGCTGACGCCCGTATCATTTTCGCGATCGTCTTCGGCCTCGCGATCAAGATCTCCGTCGGCCGCGAGCAAGATGTCCGACTGCAAGATCTCCGAGGGTCAAGGTGAGTAGGAGGGATAGGACCTTTGTTCCGGGACGACTGGGCACTGGTCCCCACTATACTTCCCAAGGCAAGTAATGCAAGTTAGTTCTAGAAGTGGAACCTTAGCATCTCTTTTGCCAAGACCGTTATTAGTAGCATAGTGCGTGGTAAAGAACCACATCCTACAAGAGGTGGCACTGTTTTCGCAAAACACTTCGGATCTAGACCGGGAAGTCCGGGAGAAGTCGGTCGGCCTCTCGTGACGTGTTGTTCTTGCGCTGCGGTCGTTACCTCCGGCGCGGCGCCGCTCGAGCAAAAATCTTCTAAGTCCCCTCGCGACGTGTGGCTTTCGCTGGGACGAATCGATACGGCGTCCAAGTTCTCTCAGATTGTATTATTAGCATGTCTCCGTTCTGATTATTTCTTAATCCGGTTCTACATCACACTATTAATATGAGGATGGATCGCGGTTTTTTTAGATTAATATTTATATCATTGAAATTTGACAAAGTGCTAAAACTGCAATGAAATTACGTGCGGCTAATCTCTATGAAATAGGTATATATTCTTCTTTTCTACGTTCTTGTTCTTTGTGCGAGATATTATTTTATGTAACATGATTTCGTTGTTTTTAGTACTCTTGATAAGGACACAAAACGGAGTGTCGAAACGTTGAGGAATGAACTAATGTAATAGTACGGCATTAAACGTAACGTCAATTTGGTCAAATCATAGAGATATAAGAGATATCTCTATGGGTCAAATAATACCTCTTATTATATTTTCTTAGTTTATATAACTTATTTATTGTTGTTTTCACAACTTTATAATACATAGTTGAGGCGCTATTTGTCCACAAATTTCTAGTTGCTGGTACACATTTTTTCTCTGAGTGTATAGTTCTGTCTATTTCTAATAGTATATTACTCTAAATGTTATTTTTGAATATATAGGTAATATTTTCGTCTGATGATGGTCCGTCCACTTTTGTGTAATATCAAGCAAATGAGTCTTTGTAGCTCCTACATTTAATGTTTCCAATTAACTTCAGAAAATGTTCCCTCGATAACTCACAAATTGAATTGAGTAGCAGTTGATTGAAACAATCTAAGCAAAATGCCAAAGGATATATATCTCGTAGCACATTAATAATATTCAATAAAATAATTTATGCCGATAAAACCCGATGCAATTTTTATGTACATTTGTTTATTAAAAACATTCATTTTATTAAGAATTTTGATGTCACACAAATACGTTACACAAAGAAAAACAACGTTTTGTACGTACAAAAGCGATTTCTTTTCTGTGAACACAAATACAAAAATTAAAATTTGCTTACTTGCAGCAAAATCGGGGAAATATTATAGTTGATAACGTGTAATGATAGAAGAACAAAAACCGAAGAAAAAATGGAGCGAGAAGGAAAGAGAAGTTTATCGAAGAAGGATCGAGGAAGAGAAGAAGAAACGGTTACGTAAGAAGAATAAATGGAGGACCAAAGTGAAATAAAGGAGTATCAAAGATGAAAATTGCGATGCTTAACTTACAAACATATCTAGGAAGAATCAAATAAAGGATAACTACATAGAGTAATCCCCAAAGCTTATACAATTATTAAATTTATTTATTTATAGTATTTGCAACAACTTGAATAATATGACAATCAATAAAATATCACGATGAATAAAAATATACAGTACACATATTTATTGGAATATATAAGTATAATACTCTCCGTTTTTTGTAATGTTTCTGCAATTTACTATATTTTCTGGATTTTTATTTGACCTGTTTCTTCCTCTTTCTGTCTGACAGATGTATCAAATAATTGAACATTTAATCAATGAGTTACATAAATCAAATATGATCCAAGTTCGTTGTGTGCAAATGAGCTGGATGAAGTAGATTAAGATTAAAAAATCTTTTAATTGAGTTTTTGCTGGTAAAGCACAAGGAACGGAACTTTTTTGGATCTTGAATAGAAATACTATGCAAGTGTAACGTCTTGTTGCGTATTATGTGATCTGCAGATAATAATCCAGCTGGTCGCTCGCCATGGAATGGCTCGCCATGGAATGGCTCGCGAAAGAATGTAGTTAGAAAGAAGGATCCATCCATATTCTTCTTTTCTTCAAGGATTGATTTAGAATAGCCAGGATAGGTCTTTATTATGTTATTACAACCTTCCACGTTACATGTCTCTGTGACAATTTTTAAAACCATTTCATCTTGGTCAACATCTGCAATACATATTATATAATGTAAACTTTAAGTTACTTTCACACATACTAAGTGCATAAATTGTAATATTTACCAATGTAGCATGACTTGGTTTCAAGAGCCAGTATTGGCGTATTAATAAAGGTAAGCTCTTCATAAAGATTCCTATAAGATTTTACTTCCCATATATCCTTATCAGGAAAATATTGATAGAAATAAGGTGATTGATATATAATTAACGTATCACTAAAAATGAAATGTTCAGTAACGCTGGTAAAGTGAACATCAGGTATTGGTGGCGGCGGCATAATACCTATTTATTGTTTAAATACAAAAGAAAAAAATTAATATATAATAAAATATATTTTAATCAATAAAAGGTAATTTTAAGGATCAACATTAAATTAATTCATAAATAATAATAATAATAATGAGAATCATTAATTCTACGATTTGATATGTATGCAATAAGGTTGATCTTTGGCCATTTTGAATAATTTCTTATACATTTTCATGTATAATACATATAAAAACGTAGGAAATGTATTATGGTATATCCAGACAAATTTGCATAGCGCATAAACATAAATTGATTGATCCATATACATGTGCATGAGGAAGTGGACCATACCATTTCTTTATACATATGCTTATGCACCTAGCCTGCGTTCGGATATTCACTGCCAGTATTGAAAATCTATAGTGTATACATAACGTAAATTATAGATTTTCAGTACTGGCAATGAATAGTGAATATCGGAATGCAGTTTTTCTGCAATGCAATGCAATCCTATGCAAGTTTTTCTGGATAGACCTTTATACACCATAACTATAAGGTTTCGACCAATTACGTTGTTTGATTCGACGGTCCAGTGATTTATTGCAATAATTAAAGTATGCAAAAAGTCGTTGGTCTTTATAATACTTTACAAAATTCATTTTCTCATGAAATTTGTGACACGGCCGAACTCCCCGTGACTCATATCTTCAAAATTTATTTAATAATTAAACTTGTTTTACTTTTTTTTCATAAATATTGACACTTTTCACGGTTAGTTTTTTTAAATCGCGTAATAATAATGGCAACATCCGCAGTAACAATTATTTAGCGTATTACGTATTTAATACATGGTTGAAATCATGGTTTAATTCATATTATACTATGTATAATACATGTAGGAAACCATGTATAATACATCGAGTATTACTTACCTATTCCTGATAAACGAATAAACCAAAGATGTTCCTGCACAATCCTGCCCAAATTATAGTGTGTATTAAAGTTTGTATGTACCTTTGCACTTTTAGTCCATATACCTACGCATTTTTTAAATACAAAAACAGAAATTAATATAATAAAATAATGTGTTTTAATCTATGAAAGATAATTTTAAGGTTGATAATTTTAAAGGGCATCAATTTCATGACTGATAATTATGAGAAGCAATATCATACACATAATCTGTATGAAATGTATATATTATAATCTTTGTTTAAAATTATTATATGTATATATATACTTGGGTAAGACGTTACACGTATACTTCGCACATGATATTATTGAAATGCGCATTATGTAGTTGCATAATTAAAAAGTCACCTGTATAAATATCATAGATCTCAATAGTCTGCGATGGTAGTTTACACTGTCTCACACCGCCTACAAGCAGCAATTTGTCTTTCAAAAACACAGTAATCATATATCTCTTCTCCCAACTGGCATACTAAAATATTTATAAACAGGTTTTAACAGATAATATTTTATTTATTCTATTATTACTTATCTATTTATTCTTATCATTTATCTAAGGATATTTACACTGTCTCAAGAATCCATTTCTTAGATATCAAAGAATAACGCCATACATTTTTGTTAAACGTTCCTGATCCAATACCATATTCTCCGCCACAAAGATATAAATCGTATCCTTAAAAAAAGATCACATAAGATATTATAATAATTAAATAAATAAGACAATACTGTTTTATATAAGACGGAATAAAAAACAGACTGTGGCATACTTCTGGCAGTGATCTGCATTCCTTCAAGAGGTTTACCAGTACTGGAACAATGTTCGATAATATCAGGAGGATACTCGAATGAAGTTAGCTCAAAAAAGTCATCACCATCCCAGCAATGAATATATTGTTCACGGTTATTGTGTTCACAAGATATAATACCATGTAAAATTGCTTCCTTTTTCAATACAATATCTGAAGGAATTGTAAAATCCTGCAAGAAAGGAGATTTTATTATTCGTTATAGAATTGTAATGCATTAATGTACAATTAATAGAAGATAATATATAGTATATATGGTAAAAGAACACAAACGCGCACACAAAATAAATATGTAGGGAATATGTATATGTATATGTATATGTAATTCGAAATCTATTTTAGTTGAAATACAGTAAAGGTAGAGTTCAACCGAAAATTTGATTTTGGTTTCGGTTTTAGCCGAAATTGAAAAGAAATTTCGGCGACGTAGCCAAAACTGTGTTCTTATTTTCCACAAATGTTTTAAAGGCTTGTTTAAGAAATCTTTTTTTATTTTAGAAATTTTAAAAATTTTGTTATTGAAATAATATAATTGTGATATAATTGGGATACGCCGGATAGTATAACTATAACTTTTTAACGATGCGTTTCCGGACTTATATGCTTATAGAAACTTTTTTTCAAATTCAATTTTCTATAAGCCCCTGAAGTTTTATTGGCTTAATCTGGAACACCCTGTACAGTATAGGTAGATGTGTGCGCGTATAAATACGTCTTTTTCAAAATTTCCATGAAAGTTTCGGTTTTTGGTTTCGATTTCGGCCAAAATTGATGCATAAGCGAATATTCGTTTCCGGTTTCGACCGAAATTAAAAAAGATTGTTTTCGTCGGAATCTAATTGGAGATAAAAGAAGGTTTATAATTCCTGTATTATTGCTAAAATTATTTTACTCTAATGTTATTTTTCAACATAACATACTCACACGATGATGGTTTTTCCACTGATTTATAATATGAAACAAATAAGTCTCTGTAGCTCTTACATTAATGTTTCCTATTAACTTCAAAAAATTTTCCCTCGACAACTCATAAATTAAATTGACTGGCAATTGATCGAAACGATCTAAGCAAAGAGCCAAAGAAAGATCTCGTAGCACGTTAATATTCAGTTTTTGTGCCATTAACCAAATTTTAATCGCATATTTTGGTGACATAAATGAGTGTCTTTCATTTCTGTCGGTTAGATCGTTTATTAAGTTATCTGTTAAGTTATCTGCTCCAAATAGAACGCTTAATTCCAACAGAGTCAAGAGATGATCAACCAGGTTTTCAGAATTATAGTTTGCAGCAGATTTAAATAAAATTCTGATGTCGTAATGAATCCAATCAATGAAATCCTGCAAAATTATTAAGTCTCTATTTCACAATGAGATAATGTACGATAAATCTCAGGGTAATTTCTATATACATTTGTCTATTAAAAACAATAAAAACATGCATTTTGTTAAAAATTTTGATGTAACAAATACGATGTAACGTAAATGTTACAAAAAGCGATTTCTTTCCTATGAACACAGACAAGAATTAGAATTTGCTTACCTGCAGCGAAATCCAGGAAATATTATAGTTTATAACATGTTCTGTTTGTTCATATTCTAAAAAGTTTTCAGACAAAAGCGCGGAAAAATACTGACTCTTGTTCATCAATTTTTGCTTTTCAACCTCGAATTGCTTCTCTTTGAGAATCAATGTCACTGTTTCGCGCGGTTTCCCGCTTTCATTGCTGTTATTTTTCATTCTAAAACAGTACATGTTATCAATGCGATAAATGTGCATTCAAACGTGCTCTCTGAAGTAAACGCAGTAACAATTGCACTACTTACTTTCATTCATACGTCTGTCGAATATCTTCTTACATATATGGCATCGTAGCACCACGTGCTCAACTACTGACGCTACTCTTTCGACTTTTTGCTCCTACACACTTGCACACAGAATGTCAGAATGCGTAAACACTTGCCACGCGGCGAGAAGGGACGTGGTAAGCACGTGGTAGCTCATCGACATAGAGCATGAACTGTGCTCAGGTATAGAAAAATATGACCGGTGACTCACCGGTCGAAAAAAAGAAATAGTGACTGGTCGGGGTCAAGCTCTTTTTCTACCCTGTAGCGTATTAACCTTTACCTTGTTCCCTACTCTTTGTCTAAATTTTACTGGACACTTTTTGAAGGCTTTCATGTAGGGATTGCATAGTTCATACTATATGTCGATGTGATAGCCAATCGACGTGGTTTTTTTCGGAAAAACCAAAAACCAAAAATTTTATTGGCTACCACGGCATTTCTTGCCGTCTCTACAAGCGTTTTTGTTTCTATTTATTGTTAAACATCTCGAGAAGACTCGCGAAAGTCGCATTACCTTAATATTATAATAATGTAAATAATATAAATAAATAAATAAATATAATGGAATTATAATAATATTGCAAACAAAATACATCACAATTAACAAAAATACATTACATATTATGACAATTATGACAATTAATTATGACATTATGACAATATTATGACAATTAATTTTTGGTGTCGAAACTTTCAATTTGTGCACTATCGATATTATGGTCACAATGTGCACACGTTTTTGGGTATCTATCTGCAACTTCTTTGCATAAACATGGTTCACTTATCACAGATATATAAAAAAATTGTTAAACACTAATATTTTATAAACTATTGCGCATTGGATAGAATTAGGTTCTCCGGCAAGAACGTTCGTAACACGTTATACGTTATGTGCTGATTACATACTTAGACTCGTACGTAAACTTAGACTTAGGTCAACGCACAACAAACAAGGTTTTGGCTAATCTACTACTATTTTCCATTCATTTACTATAATTGCGTCTTAATCTCAAGATCGTTTATGCAGGTGAGTGACATGTCCTTCCAATTTCTTGCTTATGTCAGAGCAAATCTCAGGGGCCGGGTCGGATCCGACCTCATCTTCCCAGATACGTTCTGAGAAGCCACATTGCTATCAAATTAGTGAACTTTATTGTATTTTTTAAATATAAATTATAAATAGAGGAATGAGTTTTATGTTATTATTTACTCATTTTGTACATTAATTAGATGAAAAATGAACAAAACAGAGCATTAGGTCGGATCCGATCTCACCTTCCTAGATACGTTCTAAAAAGTCTTACCATTAAAGGGTTAATATATCTAACATATTTTTCTTATTTTTAGTCGTAAAATATGCTCTCGCAGTTTGTCGGATAAATCCCGAGACACCCTGTACAACAATTGCATATAATACATACAGAAAACATTTACATAGAATAATGCAAAGCTTATACAATTATCAAGTTTATCATTTGGTGTTCGTAATAATTTGAATGACAATCAATAGAACATCACGATGAATAAAAATGAAGTCAACATATTTATTGAAATACATATATATATATTCTTTGTTCCTTGCAATGTTTCTGCAACATTTACTACATTTATTGGATTTTTATTTAGATTGATCTTCTTCTTTCTCTATCTTTCTCCCAAATATCAAATATGATCCAAGTTCGTTGTGTGCAAGTGATGAAGCTGAATTCTCTTTTTCTGTCTAGGCATTTTTCTATTCCACCATCTCTTTTTCTCCCATTCTCGTTCTTTATAATTATCTCATTCTTCTGAGTTGCCCTTGTCGCTTCCTTTTATTCAATCCAAGACGGTTCTAATTCTGTCTCTTCAAATTCTGTGTTTTCCAACAACTCTCTGAATTTTTTTTATATCTTCTTTCGCCCATATTTGTTGCTAACAAACGCTACTCTGAAAGCTGTCCTCATAACATAGAAATAGAATAATTATTTCTTATTATTGGTTCAAAGGAATATAATTTTAAAACAAGAACTTTCATATTTTACTAAACTTTAAAATTTGATAAATAATAGATAAAGATGAAGCTGCTTTTATTGTATAAAATAATTATTGTTTGGTGCTTACCGAGGTTTTTCTCCATCCGTATATAAGGTGCAGGCAGAACCAGCGGGAACACCGTCGGTAGTTGCAAGTGGTATGGGAGGGGAGGGTGCTGAAGGGCTCTGCATTGAACTGTACGAGAAAGGGAGAGGGCAATACCAATTGAGATCAATAATTCGTTTATAATTATTCGAACACTTTTTTTATAAATAAGTGAGTAAAATGCAGCATGAGTTATCAACGTTTAAAATTATACATAATTAAATATATATATATATATATATATATATATATATATATATATATATACATGTATGTATATTTATGATATATATGTATATATATCATAAATAAATTCAAACAGATATATTCTGATAAGAAGAAGATGAAGTTCTTGTTTATCTCTGAGTTGTTAATTACACTAAACTATAAAAGAATGAATGAACGGAATAGAATTAAATTGTATTTATAAGAAATAAACTATTATCTTTGTGTTCTGTTTGAAGAAGCATGTACAAAATATTAATTTAGTTTATCAGAATATATCTTAACATATGTAAACATATCAAGGCATGAAAATTATGGAATTATCACAACAGAGCATGCACAATAGTCAAATATCATGTCAGAACATGCACAATATGTTAAAAATCACAGACAATCTCTAAGTATTCTAAATAATCTCTTTTGATTAATTATACAAATATCAACGAAATTTAACAATGCTTTGGCTAGATGCGTTAAACAGGTGTTAACTGAAATTCTGATGGAATGAATTACAGTGAAGATTTCCTTAAATTGAGCAATGACAAACGTTTGTTAAGTTATCGTAAATTGTAATTAAAGTAACTGAATGATTTTACTTAACATAGATTATGATGAAAAAAACGTCATATTTTAGTTAGTGTAAATTAAAATGAAGAGAACGTCTTGTTCTCACAAAATCTTTCTATATTATTAATGTCTTGCATTGAATTAGCTCGAACTTTGATCGATTGAGCGATGTTTCTGAAACCAAGAGAGTTACATGAATATAACGTACAAGTATAAACATTTTTATTATCGTACTTTTTTACTTTTAATCACATCACATTTTTATGCAGATCAAGCACTTCAACTTTAGCGGATTATATTATGGATCCTTCCGCAGAACGTCAAAGTCAAGAATACCGTGTTTGCCTGTTCACTTATTTAAACAAAAATAATAGTAATAGACAGTCGTACTTGATGAGTAATTATACGTTTTGCTTATATCATACAATAAAATGATATCCTATCTAATATTCAAATATTTACTTTTTTCAAAGATAATTTTATAACTGCAATATTTTAAACAATTTAATTTACTACTTTTTAAGCACACATCAAAAATATTGTTTTTCTTTGTTAACAATATACACGACTATAACAGTTTAAATTTTAGCGTAATTAAAACGTCTAATAATGCACGTTTTATTTTTAATCATGCTGTATTCGAATTTACAGATATGTTTCGAGTTCTTGAAAATCAATGGTCTCCCTTTTACGGATTTCGATTCCATTGTGTCATAGCATTAGAGTCGGAAATTATCTGTATTCAAGAAAAACCGTACGTAGGCATCTTAAACAATCAATAGAATAAAGAAGCGTTTTTAATGAGTAATTATTCGCTTTGCTTTTAACATTATGCAATTTATTCTATATAACATTATGTTTTTCTTTCCAATAGTAACAATAAATTTGAAAATTATTTTGATATGCCAGGGTGTCGCTGGTCAGGTCAATAAAACTACAGGGTCTTATAAGAAATTGAATGTGGAGAAAAAAGTTTCTATAAACATAGGTCTGGAAACGTTTCGCGCAGAGTTCGTCGAAAGACGTATGAACAAAACGCAAAGAGTAAAAAGGGGATAACGAAAAGGCTGCTCGTTAAAGGAAGAAGTATTCTATTGCCCAGGCATCAACGATGCTGCGTAAGATAAAAAATAATTTTATTTAACAATTTATCCACAGCATGCAGCTATTATTATAGCGTTTTCCTTTGGCAGAACTGATGTGCACTCATCAGTGCACATTAAAGCCGTCGTACACAAATCAACGTAAAGTGTATGTTTAATATAAACGGGTTAAGTCACGAAAGCCTCAATATTCTTTACTGTACTGTTTGGTGAAATATATATTGGCTATTTTATCAATCAAAATATTTGCATTTTACTTTAAATATTAAAGATTAAATCAGTGTGCAACGGCTTTAATGTGCACTAAGTGTGCACTAGTTCTGCTAATGAAAAACGCTATTAATTAGTGTCATTGTCACGTAAAACTTTAAACGCAATTTTCTCGAAACAGTGTTTTAAAAATCGGTATACCAGAAATATCTCGGAAACTAGTAAACCGATTTGCATGAAATTTTTTACAGTTACTCTTAATACACAATAGTACTAAAAAATTCGAACTTGTAAAATAAATAAATAACTAATGGTTATAAAATTTGCGAAAAGCCTCTGTGAACTGATTTGTAGACAATTATGGTAAACATTTGTGTCAAATATGAAATTAACCGAATAACGTTCTCAAGTTATCGTTACAATTTAAGAAAATGTTATTCTAAAAATCGGACACAATGATGTTAATACTCACTATAAAATACAATTTTTTATACCAAGATATTGTGCATATTAAATGTACTTGATAAACATATGTAACAACAATTTCATACTTCTATTAATTTATAACTTTTTACAATTCGCGACCCAAATTTTTCCTAATTTTTACTTCTGTCAGAGTCCTGTAATCCTTTAATAGTGTGAAACATTGATTGCATCGCATTGGTTCT